TGATTCGTGTTAGCGTTGTCGGCCATCACGGAATTTGTCTCGGAAAAGTCCATATAGAGAGAGAGAGGGAGAGAGAGAGATAGACAGACAGACAGCGAAGAGTGGGAGAAAGAAGGCAACGATGTGGTGCCGAAAGAAGAATCACGTGACGACCAGCGATGACGTCGAGGTGTCGGACGTGCCGAGCAAGGTGACCAGCGTCTCCCGTTACAGCATGCGGAGCAACCATTCGAATCACACTCTCGCCACTGCCTTCTCCCGCCTCACCACGAGTTCCACGTTGCCCGGGAACGAGAGGGGGTCGGCGTGGGCGCGCTCTCAGTGGTACCTCGTCACGAAACTGATCATCGTGCTAGCGATACCGGTCGGAGCTCTGCTGTTTCTCGTCGCGTACACGCTCAACCGCAGCGTGCTCACGGCTGCCGCCCTGCAGCGAAGCCACGTCAGCTTCATCGAGATGCTAGAGCTGGCGAAGTTGGCCTCCGAGCTGCAGCTGGAGAGAGGCATCTCCGCGGGCCACATCTGCGACAACGGCGAGTGGTATCGCGAATTGCAACGCGTGCACAAGGCCAGCGACGCGATGATTCACAGGATCGGCAGATGGCCGCCGGACGACTGGTCCGACGTTATTGGCACGAGGTCCGCCTTCAGTCAGCGCTTGGATCAGTACCGACGCGACGTGAAATCGGTCGGCGTCACGCTGGAGGCGTCCATCGAGTACTACTCGGCGGCGATCGACGCCTTTCTGCGATGGGGCAAAGCGAACCTCGTCACGCCTACCGACGAGCACTTCTGGCGAAAGACGGTGAGCAATTTCCACGCGCTGCAGGCGATCAACGCGATCGGCATTAAGCGCGCGATCGGCTTCTGCTACTACCTGCACGGCTACCTGTCGCAAGACCTGTGGCAGTGGTTCGTCGGCGTCAACATCGAGGGCGACCGACTGCTGAACGAGTCGTTCACGTATGAGCCGGAGAACGTCAACACGTACAACGCGCTCGTCGACGAGTCGCGCGAACTGACGATCGACGAGTTTATCGGCGTCGTGCATCGCATGACTGAGAAGATCATCAACGACAACGACGTCGCCAATAAGAACCAAGGCAACCGACTCGAGGCAAAGCAGTGGTTCGACTACGTCTCGCGAAAGCTGAAGGTGAACGTGGACATGGTGGTCGCCGTGAACACGGAGATGCAGAAGGAGATTAATCAGCTGATCAACAACAATAAGAACAAGGTGATTGTGACGACGATCACGACGTCAACGATCGCTGTCGTCTGCGTCGCCGTCAGTATATATTACCTCTACAAGATATTCATGATTGTTGGAAACATCAGGGCGTTTGCGCGCAAAGTTACAGGTAAAAATGCACGACTGTGCTACAAATATTATATAGATTTAGTGTGTGTGTGTGTGTGTTTGTGTGTGTGTGTGTGTGTGTGTGCGTGCGTGCGTGCGTGCGTGCGTGCGCGCGTGCGCGCGCGCGCGTGTGTGTGGGTGTATACTAGCGTGGGTGCGTGCGTACGTGTGTGTGGAGGTATGCTAGCATGGGTGCCTGCGTGTGCATGAGCGTTGATTCTTGTTGCCATTAATTTCTATCATTTAAGTATTAACGGCATTATATCCGTTGCAGCGAAGACAAATCTGATTACCAAAGAGAAGCGTACATCAGATAAGCTGCTTAGCCAAATGTTACCACCGTCTGTCGCGCAAAGTCTGAAATCAGGTGAGTTATGTATGATTTTAGCTCTCCGCCCAACGATATACGCACGCTCGCACGCACGCACACATGCCTCTCTCATGAAGGTACGAACGCACGCACAATGTCGCTTTATGGCACATATACATATATTCCATTTGTATATTTTATTTTATTTTATTTATTAGGAACTGTGATACGATTATTAAATTCTACGTAAAAAGTTAGAAAGTTAGAAAGTAAATATAAGCACAAAATTAAAAATAAAAATAATAAAAATAAGTACATTCAGAAAGACATGTGTCTCCTAAGAACGATCACGAACGATGACAGACCGATCTCTGCATACTACCCTTGGTGCCATCGTCGTTAAGAACAATGTGTGATTCGTGTTAGCGTTGTCGGCCCATCACGGAATTTTGCTCGGAAAAGTCCATATTATTTGGATGTTGGTGCGAGTGTCCATCCAATAAGCTTCTTTCTTTTTTCTACGGCGCATTGCTTTAGGTTGATCTGGGGGATTAGAAAGAATTTGTCTGATTTCCATTCATTGAAAGTCCGGGGTATTATCACCGTCGTCAGCAATATGCGAGGTGACATTTTTGCTCAGAACTCTGTTACTCGAGATGTCGCGGAGGCGTTTCCCATAATGCGATTCTTTAGTCCGCATCGGGTATGTTTCGCATATGTAGCGCGCCTCGCGGCATTCACGACAGACGATTTCGTAGACAACGTTCGTAGAATAGCATGTGACGCGTTTGCATCTGAAAGGGTAGGATTGTCTAGCTGTGTATTAATGCTGTTGCATCATTGCATGAGGAAGCGGTACAGATGCGTGCCTGGGCGTTTTGATTAATAATCATCGGTCGCAGTGAACGAGTGTTGTGAGGATATCATTTCGCGAATAAGAGCGTCTTTAAGAGTTTTTTCCCTGCGTAGGGCCAATATTAGTTACTGCATGGCCGAATATCTTTCCGATGGCAGGAGATATAAACCCTATTAAATGGGCCATACACGTTCAAGATTTGGTGGCTAGAGCCAGTAAAAGAATGTTCATGCTTCGTATACTAAAAAAATCTAGGCTTAGCTGTGAAGATCTCGTACAAATTTACTGTGGTTACGTCAGACCGATTCTGGAATATGCTGCACCCGTCTGGCACCCGGGCTTTACCAAAGAGCTCTCACGTCTAATTGAATCTGTTCAAGTAAGAGCAGTGAAAATAATAATAGGTTATAATAATTGGAATAGGTACGACATGTACGATGAGGTACTATCTCAGCTTCAGATCCAAAGACTTGCGTTTCGTCGCGAGCAGCTTTGTAAAAAATTTGCTTATCAGCTCAAAAGTTCTAAACGATTACAGGATATTTGCCCTCCTTCAGCAATAAATGTGTCTAAACCGCATAACACGGAATTCTAGTAAACTCCGGCTTGCAAAAGTCGCTCGTACCAGCCGGTACTTCAATAGCCCTGTTCCGTACATGTGCAGGATGATTAACAAAATTAATTG